CCCCCCCCCCCCCCCCAGGGGAGGGTATCATATGTTCTTCGTTTTTTTTCTTTCTTCTTTTTGTTCTGTTTCATGCGACGGTTGATGTGAATCTTCTGTTGTGTTTCATAGGTTTAATCTCCGGGGGATTTGATTGTTTGGGATTCTGAAAAGGGGGCTCTTCAGTTAGGGTTCCGATGATGGAGGTGCCGGCGGCTGCGGTGGTGGTGCTTCTCATCTGAGCCCTGCTTCAATTTCTTTCCTTTTTTGAGGACTTCATACATATTTCAATTAAATTGTGTGGGAATTTGTCCGTGGGATTATTTATCTCTGAATATGAGGATTTCCGTTGAATGACTGGGTTTTTTTTGTTCGAGAGTTTTTTTTTTCAAAATTTTATTTTAAGGGAGTTATTTATTGTTCAAGAGGTTGTCATTGTTGTTGTTATGTTTCCATTAATATGACTTTCTGCTAGGAGGAATTGATTCTCATTGTTTTGGGTGATTGGGAGAAATGGAAGAAGAAAAGGAAACTAACAATGCGGATTATCGATGTAATGTGAGGGAGACTCACTGCTGTGGAATGGAAGTGGAAACAGGAAGTATTAATGGCCGAGATGTTGTTTCGGCCTCCAAGACGGGTGTTTCAGGAGGATCTTTTTGTATATGTGGGGTTAAGAAATGTGATTCGGGGCTAGCTGATTGGGGCTTTGAACAGGAGAATAGGAACAAGAACTATGGGGCAGAGAGGAAGCTTAGTAAACAAGACAGGATTGAGATAGGGAGGTTGTTTCAGGATGCCGTGACTTCCCACAACTGGGAGCGTGCGGAGAGATTGGCTGTTTTGGCGGACCCACATACGCTGAACGGTGCCTTGTGCATTGCCCTGGATTCAGTTTGGTTTTTGAGCACACAGCAGGAGTTGAATGGCATTACTGTGTTGATTAAGAAGATCATTTCTAACGGTGCATATGATTTTACTCGGGCAGTCCTCAGGACTTCGTTCCTTGCTTCCTGCGTTTGTGCTTGCCAAAGCCGGACAATGAGCCTTTCGGATACTGTCACTCTTATGGCCCAAAGGTAAGATTCCATATATGATTGAAATTCACATTTTTGGCTCATATCAAGTAGAACAGAGTAACTGCACAATTTTCATGGAAAATGCATATGGTCATAGATTATCCATGTCTAAAATAGTAACTTTAACATAGACTTTGTCATCCAAAATATAAAATAAATATATATATTTAAGCTTCAAATATTGAAAACAATACAAGCTACAACATCTTCTGCTGGCTACCTAACATAAGATTTACTTGTATATTTATGTCACTTGTTTTTCTGACCTGGAAGGACTTTTACAATTGCATTCTCACTAGATTGCAAGAGCGATTGCAAGAATGCAACGGAGATGAAATATTGAAGGCAGAGGCTGGTGCAAAGGTTCGGAAGTTCACGGAATGGGCTCTCAAATGCATAGGTTTCCACTCACATTGCCAAGGAAAGGGTGATAGTGTAGCTCATATCTCTGCTAGCGAGATAGAACTGCGGCTATCAGCTTTCAAGACCTTTTTAGACCTGGTCGGGAACAACCTCACAGGAAAAGACTTCACTGAAGCTTTTGATGCGGCATGTTTTCCCCTTACCCTTTTCTCTAGTTCGTTCGAGCCGGGCTGGGCTTCTGGCCCATCTGCAAATGGGATCCAGGGACTGTTGGGGATGCTAGTGGAAGGGGGTGCTGACAATGTTAACCAGTGTTTTCTTGAAGCTTCACGTTTTGGTAGCACAGAGCTTGTACGCATTTTGTTGCAGGTGATTGCCATCCTATTTCTCATGATTAGCTACTTTATTATTATCTACTTTATTATTGGAATTCATCTATCTTTTTTTACTTATGTAGATTGCTCAAAGGAACAGCCTAGACGTTGACGTTGATCTGGCATTGGGATTCGCTTCACATTACTGTAAAATAGGAACAATGGAATGCTTGGTGGAAGAAGGGCACGCCGCGGCTTTCTTAGGCCCATTAATGAGAGCCGCAGAGAGGGGATGCATGCAGGTGGTTGAGTGGTTCCTCAGCCGCGGCTGCAGAGACATTGAGCTCTGCCTTGCCCTCGCAGCCGCCACGTCCGCCAGTCAAATCGCTATCGCCGCTTACATCCTCCCGCACGTCCCCCGACCTTTCCTCGCCGCCCTCAGCGTCGAGATCCTCAAGGCTGCCGGTGAACGGAGTGGCGGGTATGCTGGTGTTTTCAATTTGCAAATATTAAAAAAAAAGCATATTGAATGAGTAATTGTAAATTGAAATCCTTGGAATATAGGTCTTTTGACGGGGTAGCCTTCCTCCTCGGTTCAGACTTCCTGGGTGACCCCACTGCCACGTATGACGTTGCTGACATCATAGCGAGGTCGGGTGATGACGTGGCTCCGGAGCTCAAGTCGTTCCTCCGGGACCACTGGTCTGAGGCCGCCAAGCTGGAGGGGAGGAGGCGAGGGGAAGAGCATTACCTGAACTTGGTTAGGGTCATGAGAGCTGGGGAGACCCCAATGTGTCTCATGGACCTTCCTGCCCCTCTTAGGGTGGCGATAGCGTACCTGCCACTGTATAGAGAATGCGTCAAGACCGGCGGCCGCCTGTTGCCGCAAAGGCTCAGGGGGGAGCTCGCGGAGGCGGTGAAGCGGCTCGGCGGGGCCCAACTCGGAGGCGACGATGCAATGCAAGGGAGTGAGTTGTTGGCCATTTTAGAGCATCATCTTCCTACTTTTTTTGTCCATGCATCATGAGATCTTTTGCAATAGGGTTGTATTACTTGTTATTATTATCATATGCATGGTGAGGGTAGAGAGGTTATATGAGATATTGTAATCTTCATCCAAGTTGGAGTAATAATGCTCTGTATTGTAGAATATAGTTGGGATCAAAATATATACTCGTATATAATTACATGTATAGAAGCCATGTTTTCTTAGGAGTTGTGATTATTATATGCAGTCATGCTCTACTCTCACATCATGTATTATTGTATCACTGGTGTTACACAGTCAAGGAGGTGGTAACCTCGGTGTCATTCATGGTGTAAAAGTCTCATTTTTTTTGAATGGAATGGAATGATATGCATCTAAAATGAAGTTTTAGTGTTCATGTAGAGTCTTTTGTGGGAACTTAAGGTGACTATTTTGTTTCGTCCACATACTTCTTAGCACTTTATTTTTGGTTCAAGGAATTTGAGAGGAAAAGAAAAAGAAAATGAGAAGGAAAATATTTTTTTTAGCACTATATTTTGTTTTTTTAATGCTCACACTTTAATTTTAATTAGAGTGAAATTTGGATTGATACATGAAATACTAGAATTTAGACATTTAGTTTATTTCTTTGGTCATTTGATTTGATTTCTCGTTTAACTTTTCTTAGTTAAAATTTGTAAACTTTGACTTTGATATGTAAAAAAAAATAATTTATATTTTGATATAAATATAATATTAATAGTTTCTTTTTGAAGCAAGACAAATGTATATATTATGGATTCTAGGGCCAAGTTGAGATTGATAGTCACATTTCCATTCAAATAAATCCACAGGCCACGATAGTGATTATGATTGAAAGGGGACAAAAGGGGCCCCTAGACGATTAGGGAACAACCTTTTTTTTAAATTAGCATTAGTATTTTTGATAATTTTTTTCATACTGCGATTAACTTTGAAAAACGCTAAAAACTAAAATTGTTGCCAAACGGAAACGGGTACTATGACATTACCAGACCGAGTACCCGCCATCATTCTTAAGGGCCTAATCGAAGAGGGTGTAATGTTTCCTAATCATTCGTATTGAAAATAGAGATATTACCAATTACCAATGTACTTGGCTTTCAAAAACAGCAATTTTGGAGACCTGGGGAAGTCAAAAACAGCATCCCAAAGGTAACTGGAAGTCAGTTTGCTAAAGCTGAAGCAGGAGGAATAAGATGGCTCCGCCTGCTTGTGATGAACTTCTCCCGGTATTGCCCAAAGGTTCCTTCCCTGATTGACTCTCTGATGGAGCGGAAGAATCCCATATAATGATGAGTGTTGTGTCTGGAAAAAAATTGTTAAAAAATACAAAAACAAAGGTCAGTTCAGGTTTTCTCGGTAGCACTCATATTTTCCTTTTCGGCGCATCCCTAAACAAACAATTATGAACAACATTAACCCAGTATAATCCCAACATTGTTGGGGTCTAAGGGTCGGGCAAGATGTATGCAGTGTTATCCTTTTAAAATACAGAGAGATTGTTTTAGTTAGACACTTGATGCATTGCTGCACTTACTACCAAAACTTCGTTGAAAGTAAGAGACAAAGGAAGTTTAATGTGCCATCTCACTTGATTAAAGTAAAGGTGGTTAAGGTGCTTACCAGTTACCACCCTCATTTAATATCTCCACTTACTAACATTAATTACATCCAACCACATATCACAAAGAACCGTGCACAAAGAATCCAACGGAAAGAGTATTTTTCACTTTTAATCTCACTATTTTCACTTCTTTTCATGGATCACTATTGGATTCTTAAGATAGGATTACCTTTAGTCCATCCCGTTGTTTATTCAGCCATTTCAGCCAAATGTGACCTACAAATATTGAGTAATGCACTTGCAAAGGCATTTCATCAATTTGAATGGCAAGCATGACCTTTTTGTTTCCTTTCACGTGAAATCGCAACCAAGTGATTACAAGTGACAAGTTTAATAGTACACCAAGAGTGGAAAATTTGGACAGTAAAGGTCAACCCAGGTATAAAACAATTACTAGGATACTAGCACTTTGATCACTGACTTTCACTTTTCCCACTTCTGATGCATGGCTATTAAATTTTCGTCACATTATACATTTGCAAGGGCATTTTAATTTATTTGTGAAGAGCAGGTATGACATTTATATTTATTTTCTCATGAAATTTCCAGTTCATATTTAACGAGGGAAAATAGGCTGAGGAACCAAATGTGACAAGAATATATTAATCGTGCATGTGAAAATCATCAGAATAGAAAATCAGCATAACATTAACAGATGAGTATAAGGGTACGCAGTGAGAGAATATTCATACATTTCCAGTAGAATCTGAGCCAGCATTTCATGAACGTTAAACAGGTGATTGATGTATGCCTTTGTATGATTCTGACAGGTAAAACAGTTACACTTGTCAACAATCGGCGATGTATCTTTCCTGCCATGTCACAATCAGAAAAATATATTACATTTCAGATTTTTTCTTATCATTAATGTTATTATTATTATTATTATTATTATTATTATTAATTCATACAGATCTGATTTTACCATAAATATTTTACAATGAGACACGACCATTAACAACTATTTCCACTCATCGCCGTCATATGATTGTTTTGAATACCATACTATGATGTTGGCATCTCATTAGTCCTTTAGAAGGTCTGTGTCTGGAATGATTTTGGGCGTAAAAGTATCGCATAACCATTTTTTTGGGTTTGGGGGGGGGGGGAGTAAAAGAGATCATCCTTTCCAAAACTAGCCGACAAACATACCCTTAAGATTTCTAATATCCTCACCTGTAAATGGTTGATTTCAGGTTGATCTTTGTTCCATCACAGCCTGTATTGCTGCTTGGCATATGATCAGTTAAATGTCTTTCAGTCCTCTCAAGTGGAAAGGTGAGGGCGAAGCCTCCAAGTGTCAAGTGAAAAATGTAACTGCGGGACAATTCAGATGTCAAACGAGAGAACAATAAATTTATTGAATGAGTGTGACCAATCTGAAAACTAGATAATAGTAGCTCGTACGAGGAATCAAACAGATCAATGCCTGCTGCAACTCCCTGCAAAACCTCTTCTGCAAGAAGAAAATTGTTTGTATTTTACATGAAAGCTCATAGAAGAACCTAAATACATGTCAAATAATACTCCCCCTGCCTTTTTTTAGTTGTTCACTTTCCTATGACTGTAATTAAAGAGTTGATTCATTTTCCATAGTAAAATTGTGCATGAACGGGACAGTTTTGCTTTTCCATAGTCTCAGTTGGAGCCAAAGATTCACTATTTTTTGGCTTTGGGGTATGTAGTGACGTAGCAGTTAGTCAATGCAAATTTTAACACTCATCATGGGTCATCTCGAAACAGTCGCTCTATGTTTTAAACATAGGGGTCAGGCTGTGTACACCCGATCCCCCTTACCTCGCAATGGGCGTGAGCCTTTCAGGTACTGGGGTAATGCTATTGGTGTTGAATGGACAGTTTTGCCCATGATTACTTTTTGCAAAATAACTTTGTTGGAGCAAGGAAACAAGTCAACAACATCTCTACTTTTGAGTAGGGGTAAGGTCTGCATACACACCCTCCCGAGACCATACTTTTGTGGGATCCTACTGGGTTGTTGTAACTTTGTCGGAGTTAAAGCCCAATACATCAGCCCAAAGAGCGTCGGGGTGAAGAAGAAGCAACAACTCAACAATGCATCAAGTTTAGGAAGGCCCAGGAGGGCATCGGCAGAGAAGATATGTCGATCCAGACACTCAGTCCATGGAGATCTTGACCCACACTTGGTGTATTCCAGGCTATGGATAGCTCCACTGGCTGCCCCGCACATGTCTGGAATGGGCTGAGTGGAGACCAATACTTGGACAAGACACGCTACTCAGGTACAGAGGAGGAGTTGAAGCCTGGAAGTAATAGGAAGTTTCGTGTGCCTGGTCGAGTTGAAAGTTTTGTCCATCGTTAAAGTATTTGTACTTAGATAAGCAACCTCTGTCGTCATTGTTGTGTGAGGCAGATGAATTGGAGTGTGTGCCACTGGGAGCTTAGTGCGTGTGGCACCAAAAAAAAGATTGAATCATCTCCAAGCTTAGGAAAGAAAAGAAGTTCTAGATCGGTGTCAAAACGGGGGTAGATGTGAGATGTGTGCCGCATCGACAGTAACAAAAATGACCACTGCATGTTTTTTACTCCAAAAACAAGCGAAAGCTAGAAGGCAGCAAATCAGGCTGATGTGGTATTGGAGGTCACTGGAAAAACAAAAGTGAAGAACAGTAAAGTTGCAGAAGCATCGAGGGCCACTCACGAGGCACAAATTCAGGTCTCATATTTTTTTCTTTCTTTTGATATCAAAATTTATTTCCATCATCTCCGATGGAGCCAAAATTTCACCATTTTTTGGCTTTGGGGTGTGATGGAATAAATCAAAATGGATCTCTAAACTGTCTGCGCTTCTTTAATTAATGAAGTAGCAGTTAGTCAAGCAATGCAACTTTCGACGTTGAGCCGGGGGTCTCTTTGGAAACAGCCTCTGTACTTTCGAGTAGGGGTAAGGTCTGCGTACACACACCCTCCTCAGACCCTACTCTTGTTGGATTTAACCGGGTTGTTGTTGTTGTTGTTGTTGTTTTGATATCAATACAAACATGACAATCTTTTTTTATTGGGTGGTCTGGAAGTGAGCAAATGATGTAGGGGTAAAATGGACATTGTATGACATTTATTTGCCTTAAATGGAAAATGAACAAATACTCCAGAACAGCTCAAAAAGGAATAGTAGGTGGAATACTCCGGGATGGAGGGAGTAGCTTTCTAAAAAGTAGAAGGCACTATGTGGGTGTTAGACTGGATTCTAACAGCTATGATGGGCCTGTGCAGGGTCAGGGAGGGTCTAAGAAGATTTAGGCGGGTCAATTCGAGAAAAACGTAGATGGCTAAGGGAAGCTAGTGTAAGCAGGGACTTTAGAACTGAGATCATTATAGTTAAAACAAAATAGATATAATATTGAAAACAATTGCCACAGCCCTGAAACTTTATAGTCGTGAATATGATCTGTGTCATAGGTTTTTCTTGTTACAAATACATACCAAAAGATAAGGACATATTAAATCATAGGTAGATCTTAAATCATATTACAAACCTGGAAGTTGGAGCCCGCATATATGTCGTGGCTTTTCTTCTGGTAAAGATTCCTGCAACCAGACTTCATAAGTGAATCTGCAAACATGTAACTCTATTGCAACATGTACATCGTTCAACCAGCATGATATTTCCAAAAGGATGAATAGCTATGTTAATCTAAAGCCTATGGTATGGGCATAATGAAGATATAGCCATCATTGGAATCCCCACAAAAAAACATGTCAGATGCATTTGCACAAAAGAGTTCTCGGGCGCTAGAACAATATTGCTACATACGTCCTCTGAAAGGTTATATTTTATCAAACTACAAATTTTAAATATTGGTAAGGTAAAACTTTTATAAATTATCAAGCATTCTCATAATTTTGAAGTGTTTGTTCATTCAACAAAATATAACATAATCAAGTAATTTGGAACACTTATGTATAATTACTTAAAATTCAATGAAAAAGTTCCTTCTATTGTTGAATAGGAGTCTTTTTTGGGACAAAGATACATTTCGAAACAAGACTTTTTTTTTGGGGGGGGGGGGGGGGAGGTAGTACTAGACTTCCACAACATAGAGGTTCAGATTTCCAAAGCAAGTCTAGTTTGTCAGCACAATCCTGACATGAAATAGAAACGGAGGTAGAAAACAAGAGTCATACCGTAACAGCACTAAGAAGAGCAGTGCGTTCCTCCATACTCTCTCCTAATCCAAACCCACCAATCCAATAACCTGCATCACATTTAAGAAATATTTATAATATCATTTCAAAATTATGTGTTTTTACTTGAGTATGGATGATGATATACTAACTGCTGATATTCAAATGGCAAACATTAGATAATGCAATACAGAAAACAACAAATAAATGCTTTCATTACTTGAAGATGAGTTAAAGAAAGAGAAATGGAACTCTCATCTTCTTCAGTCAATATTAGGCATTTCTTTGGAAGTTATATGATGCTAAATCCAATTCTAAATACAAAAAGGAGAGCATAGTTGTCACGGCATCGCCTAGGCGTCCTGGCATTGTGCTCCACTCGCCTAGTGTATCGCCTCGCCTTTTTTTTTTTGAATCCCTCACCTAGGTCTCGGCTTGCCTCGCCTCGCCTAGGCACCCGGACATCGCCTTTTGAAAATCTTTTATGCCTTTTAGTCAGTGACTCTTTTCATACTCAGTATTTACTTTGCACTAAGTAGTCGCATATTGTTTTTAATCATATTTCGTATTTCATATTCTTTTCTTCTTTTCATATTATGGTGTGTTTATATATTTTTTTAAGTATGTGTAATTGAAATTTTGATTAGAATTAGAGAACATGTGTGACTTAGTCATACTAATGTAAATCAATCCTGATATCTTATATGTTGCCGCATAGGTCGCCTAACTATTGCCTAGGCGGGTGCCTAGCCGTCTCGGCATAATAGCAGTACACTGACGCCGCGCCTCGCCTTGGCGCCGTGACAACTATGAGGGAAAGAGCAGTGATTAAATTATGATACACATTTGCTATAAAAAGGTAACCTCTCAAATATATTACTGGCCTGTGATCACATGCATGGGCCCCTTATTATTCAAGTTTTAACATTAGTAGCAGATAGGCTTGTGCATCATGACCCAGAAAATTTTAGGATAATCAATAGAACTTTTACTCATCTTGACCCCCGATAGAAACAAAAGGGGCAAAAAAATAAAAAGCCGTGTGAATGGTAGCCGTGGCAACATTCTTTTTTGTAATTTCTGTCTAATTAAGAAGAAACTTAGTAGAACTTCATCAGATTTTAATGTTCATTTCAAGTGAATTAAGTATAACAAGGGGATAAAATTGAAGAATTGAATTTTAATATAACACAACCTGAAAATGTATAACTAAATAAGCATAATAAGAATAAAAAATGTAAGAACCTGAAACATTTCGCTTCGCAACTTCTTGAGCACAACGTTGTCTTTCTTCAATACTTGAGCCTCCAACAATAGAGCCAAAAACAGTTGAACCTGTCTACACCTCACCAATTATAACATTCCTTAATTCTTTTTTTATCAGTTTAGAAACCAATATAACAAGGATCTGTACTAGATAAAATCTAAAAAGTTATTCCGTAAATTAGATTATACGTCATTTGAATGTGGATACTTTAATTTATAGAACACAGGTCGATTATAATACATGTTGTTCCCTCATAAGAACAAATGCAAATGAAACATCCAGTTCTTGTTTTTACAAGAATCATATAATACAATTGCCTAAGAATATTTCGACTCTTGCAAAGCTACTGATTAACAGGATGAAAGCATGAAACACACTATTGTGCATCTTGCTATGTCTGATTGAGATTGGATGGTCCCAATATGATTACTCTCTAGTGAATGCAATCATTGTGTTGGTTGGATCGGGGCCGTTCGACGGTCAAGTTTAGAAAAAAGAAGATCATGATTTGCATCAGGAAAAACTAAAACATGACAAGACACCAAAGCACGTCTTTAGTTATAAAAACTGACTACGGAACAGCTATAATACTGCCCCTATCGGCAAAAACTAATTTGTTTGACTGAAGACCCAAAGCATGCCTTTTAAATTTTGGGAAGATAGAAGTGTCATAACTTTACAAAAATGTTGCTTTTAATTTTTTTTGGTTAGCTAAATTTATTATATCCAACTTGTCTGTGAGTTCTTTTTAAGAATAATTTCATTAGATAAATCATGACTTTTTGGGACAAAAAGTGGATGAAACTGAATTCTTTTTTGGATGGGAGTAAAAGAAAAAAACAATATATATTTCAACATGCTAAAGAAGCAAGATCTATACAATGACACCACCACCACCAACCTACTCAATGACTCCCACAAGTAAGTTTAGGAGGTGGGTGTATGGAGGCCTTAACCCTGACTACAAAAGGCAGGGAAAGATGCAAAGTTTATGCATTCGACTAATAGGTAAAAAGAATAAGGTTCTACCAAGTTTGAAGTGAGGCAATCATCAAGCCATCTCAAAGTGCGATCAACAGATGTTCTGTTCCTCTTCTCCGAAACAAAAGCAGGTACCTCATCAGCTAAAGTAGTCCACATGTTTGGCCTCATACAAGAAATCATTTCCATGTAATCTGCAGGTTTTATCTGCAGAATGTAACTATAATGAGAACTGTAATACAGTTTACTCACAAGTTTCACCACACACTATAATTGCTAGACCAGAGAGAGAGAAGGAGAGATACGAATAAAATCACACCAAACGACGACCACAAGGAGTTTCAAACGAGGCTCCATCCCTGTTAGAGCTGGTGTGCTCCGGTATGGAAATAATACAATCCCTGGGAACAGCTGATAATATTCGGCCATGTAAGCCAAGCATCTGGTGTAGCCCTCCAATGTCGGATACGATTTTGTTAGATACGCATCCCAAGCTGGAAAAAACAAAGAAGACAATCGTTACCAACCAGCCAGATTCTCCTATCCCAGAATGACGGTTATTTTGATAATTTGACAGTTAATTTCTCTAATAATACAAAGTAAGATTTTTGCAAGTATCCTTTTTATATAGTCATGTTCGTGACAGAAACAAAAAACATAATTTTTAATTTTAATACTCTCTCTCCTAAAATTATTGTTTTTGATCACTCTGACTACGAATTATGGAAAAAGTATATTTAATTATAATGTAAATTTAGTATAATTGGGTTCATTTTAGTATGAAGTTTTGATATAGGGAGTATCAATTTACCATGTACTTCAAGAGAAATTAACGGTAAAATTTAGCTGGGTTTCAACTAAATATTGGGACGGAGGAAGCATGTTATAGAATACACAAATCATCAAACACCATCCGTGCAACACAATGCAAAGCAACGAAAAGCGCGAAAAGAACTTTAATGTATAGAGGGACAGTGCAGAAGAACATACAAGTGAATGGGAGAAATCTGGAGGAGGTGAGAGTCCGGCGAGGGGAGGGAAGGAAGGTGATCGGGAGGAATGAAAACCGGCAGCCCCTTGCGAGTGGTGAGGAGGAGTGCCGGAGTGTCCACGGAGTAGGGGCAGTTGCTGAACTGCAAAACCCCGGCTCGAGCTTTCCCGTTGCTCCATGCCTTCACCGTGAACATCATCTCTTCTCTGGTCCTCCCTACCCGCCGGCGGCTACGGCTCTGTTGCACCTTCCAAAAAAAAAATGATTTATTTGATTCTTTATTATTTCTTCCGTCTTCATGAGAGTTAATTATATAATTGATCTTTTAAAACAAGAGAATATCTATATTTGATTCTTTATTATTTCTTCCGTCTTAAAATGATTTTCTGAGTTACTATTTTACATGATCAAATTTTAATTAATTTCTTTACCTATTTTCGTTAGCTATTTGATAAAATAATCTAATTTTATCACTTCTTGTTTTATAAATTTTTTGATATAGTTTTAAAATATATAATTTTTAATTTTATACCTATAATTGAATAAATTAAAAATAATTCTAGTCAAACGTCGTAAACCGAACTAGAAAGATCATTTTTGGACTGAGGAAGCATTAAATATTATATGTGGTCTTTTTATCGGTACCATTCCATACTTAGTTTTGAGTAAAGTTTCAAATTGATCCTTTGTAATAAGGTATTTTTCTAAATTTGACTCTACAGTCAAAATAACTTGGGAGTGTCTTGGGGTCGGAGTGGAGGGGTAGGGGTAGTAACCACTCCCTTCAATTGCACCCCACAATTTAATTTTGATTTTAGAGACAAAATTTAACTCCGAAAAATGATACTCAGGGTATTTTTTTTGTGCTCGTTTTTTTTTTGAAAATTTTTCTTTTTTGTAATGCATTAAATGAGAGAGATAAACTAATACGTAGTACTCCATATTTTTTAAAAAATAAAACAAATACATATAAAAAAAGTTGGACCTTATTCGGCCCAGTTCCAATCCACAGTTCTGATCCTACCAATCATCAAATTGGGAAATCAAGGCTCATTCAATCTCATCCAGCCCGAGTTCATGCTGGATGTAGACCCAATGGGTCCCTCCTAATTCTTCCAAAAACTAAATGTGAATCATCACATGATAAATGCTAACTAAGACCTAAGCTTCTAACTTTGAGTATGATTTCTTAGACTCCGTTTGGTATACGGAATTCAAACTATAAAATTGAAATTGAGGACAATGATTTCAATTCTGCTATTTGGTAGCACAAAAATATGTGAATTTGAAATTGGTAGTGTTAAAAATAAATTGAAATTGAAAAACTCAATTTCATCAAAATCAATTCTATAAAATTTCAACTCCCAATCCAATTCTAATTCCCTGACACGGACCCTTAGAGTGAATTTTTTATCCTTCTTACCCATATTTGTGATGATTTGAACTTTAATACTTTGTAATATTTGGTAATGGAATTGTTATTCCTTTTCCAAAAAGACTCGATTGTTTTCTTGTTGAAAGATGTGCATTCTTTAAATGTTTAAATTTAAAAACTGATTATGCGGTTCACAGCATTTCATTTATCTTCTTTGTAAATTTCAATGGCATAACCCGGAGCAATTTTCATTTGCATTTTATCAAAAGCGATGAAGAATCATATTTGACACATTTTTGCACTCAATTAATACTCCATATAAAAATATTTTGTGTTTGACTTTCACAAAAATTTAAAAACTATTGTAAAATTAAAAAAAATGATTGGAATTTGTTAATGTTTTTTTAAGAAAAAGAAAAAAAGAATGCAAAAATGTTTGAAAACAACAAAGTATTTTTGTATACCACAACCCAAACACGTTTACCATGAGTTTGGCTATGGCATTGTTTGAAAACAACATTTTCAATTAAGATCAACATTTAGGATAATTTTCACTAATAACTTTGAAAACAATAAAGCCTATTGCTGNCCCCCCCCCCCCCCAAAATAAATAAAGTTGGAGAAAAAATAAGTGAGAATGAAACCTTGGTACGACATCAGTATTTTGAAAAAACTATCCCAGGATAGTTTTGGCGTTTTAAAACATTGGTCAGCATCATTGAAATATTTACGGAGCATTCAAAGACTCCAACACTAGTTACAAAAGCTATCCCAAACATACCTGTAGTATAGTCACTCACCACGCAACACTAACACAATATTGCTATTAAACCATTCAAATTGAAGTTACATTAAGAAATCTTAACAATGTGGACCAAAACTGAAGTTTAATTGAAAAATAGCTACATTTAAACTTAAATCCAGTAAATATCAATTAACATTGTTTTCAAACAAATCCCAACATGAAAAGCCACATATAAAAGAGAATACACTTCAATTTTGCGCTATAGAACCAATCACATAACCAGAAAGATGTTCGCATGCAGTAGAATATTTATTATAATTACAAACGAACAAACAGCCCCACTATATCCCACCAAAGAGTACGGTCCGAGCCTCGGGGTGGGGGGGGATACACCAGACCTTACCTCGTGTTAGGAGTAGAAAGGCTGTTTCCATGAAGACCCCGAAAAACTGTGATCCATGCTAGGAGTGATAGTATAAGTTTTTGAGGGAAAAAAGGACAAACCATCGAACATAATGCCCCCACCGTTCGAGTATAGATAGAGTTCTGAATTGCACATGATATCAAGAACCCAACTGGTGTAGTAAATGCTCCCTAGCAAAGGCAAAGGCTTGTGTCGACTATTGACCCCCCATCATCTAGGAATACAATAGAGGGAAAAATCGCAAGGGATTTTAGGAAAAAAAGCCTTAAGAAAATCAAAAATAAGTTAACTATGGGAGAAAAAATTGGTATTCTAATGAATAAAGTGAAAACAAAGTATGATTAATGACTTGAAAGTTTTTAACTCCGTCCCGCTGGAATTTCCAAACCTTCCGTTTTCATCTATCACGACGACAGAATTCCACAATCCATTTGTGGCTCATATGCAATACCTATCTTTTAAACAAATTTCAAATATACAATTTTAGAATTTCTTAATCTATGTGCTAGATCATGTTTGGAAAATATCAATGGAACAGAGGGAGTATTACCCTTGCACTTTACAACAAGAACAACCCAGTAGAATCCCACGACATTAAGGTATGGGGAGATACCCCTACTTAAAAAGTAGATAGACTGTTTCCAAAAAAACCCAGCTCGAGCAACATAGAAAGCACGAAAAAAAGAAAAGAAAAGATCAAACTAAGGGTAAGAAAAGTGCAAGGAGACAAAAAGCATACAAACCACTGCAAGCAATACAACCGCAAGCCTAAAAAACACACAACGACAAGAGCAAATACTACCACCCAAGTCCAAACGACTACCCAACTACCCTAATCCTACATATCTAGACGCTCATGTCTATGGTCGTATCCTCGATAAGGGCCAGAAGTCCTAGTTTATGTCTAATCACCTCCTCCCAATTCTTTTTTGGTCCACCCCGCCCACTACCGTAACCCTTGCACTTTATCAAAAAATTAAAACTTTTACCTTCTTCACGCCGATTTTTTTGGGGGGGGGAGGGGGAGAGAGAGAGATGGAAGCATGTAACAAAGTTTTTTTGGTGAGCTACTCCGTACAACATTTATAAGCATCAACCCTACTTGTTCAGTTTGTAACTTTGTATGGATTAAGTTGTCCACCTTTATGGGACGTCAAGAATTAGTTGTCTAGTTATTATATCGAGTAAACTCCACAAATGGTTTCTATTTATAGGTGATTTTCCATATTTAGTATACAATTCTAAGATACTACATAAATGGTCCTCAATATTTAAAAATTATTCCATAATTGGTTTTTCATGGACTATTTGTGGAAAAATTATTGTCATATTTGGCCTAAAGGATTATTTATGGAATAGTTTTCAAAAATTGAGGACCATTTACGAAATTTAATCTATTATATTTGGAGAATAAAATTTTTTAAACTGCATAACTCCATTGAGAGAAAAAGTATCTTCCATGTCGTTCCACTTCCCGACAAGCCTAGTGGACCTCTAGATTTTTTGTTATATCACAATCCTTAAATTTGAGCAAATTTAGAAAGCAATCAACAATATCCAGACAAAGGGAGTATATATTTTTCAGTTGACTTGATCGATGAACTAAATTTAACAAATAGTTTTTATGAACCCCATTTTTTAGAATTGCATGAAAAATGAACTTCGAATGCAGAAAGTGAATGCTTACCTTAAAGAAATCTCCAAGCATTCCTTGCAGTGAGCTTTGGCGTTGTACTCCATAAAATTTCTGTGCTATTTCGTCTAACAACTACACAACCAAGCATATAATTAGACTAATGAGGATTGAATACGAGCATGATCTGACAATTGTAATTTTTTGTCACATTTGATCTCAACCTTTTTATAGTACCAATTGCAATCTCCACTTCCAGGTGTTGCATGGATGACAATGCAATGATATCATTCTAAGAGGCATTTTATTCTGCTTTTACTCTTATCCACCCACATGACCCAACTTTATTATGACAATTGACAAGTAAGAATGACATTAAAATGTAATTAAGTAAATGACCAAAAGGAGACAATTCAGATTAGTCTTGCTCTGAATTGAGTTGCTTTTGCTTTTTCCTCAAATAATGTGCAAAGGAAATTTTTTTACACTTGTTAGAAACAAAGGAAGTAATTCATATGCACAATCCAATCAGAATGAGTGGTTCAACATTGTAATGGGAAAGATGGAAAGATGAGACAGGAGATTTGAATCAGACTTAAGCATGCTATAGAAAAATATCCTTAATATGAAAAAGCATTTCAAAGTAGGAGATATTGCAGACCTCATTAAATGTTGGATCTCTATCTATACTCGGTTTGAAGCATTGCCTCAACCTATGAAATAGAGGAAACGCATCTCTCTGCAACCTGCATTGTAAATCAAATGCATTAGCAAACAGCTTTACATTTCTTTCCCTCTTTAGCCTCATTGGAGAATACAAACATAAAAAGGAGAGGATGATGAGTATGCTTTTGTTTAAACACACACACCCACACATGTGTGTATAACTCCAACATCTAATGTTGATAACTGGTCTCAATATTTTAAATTGTCAAGTGATGCTAATATAGGTTTCTTTGTATCCAGATTAATTCTTGAAAAATGATTTATCAGAAGGAAACACCTTCATCAAAAGCTTCTTCACTTAGATATCTTTCTATATTAATCAAAACCATCTTGAAGTGTTTTTAGAAAATTTATGTTTCTAAATGTGCCCGACACACCAAAATACTAAACTTCAAGAGTCTCTATTCAATATTGACAAAAACAGTGCTCTTATAATCAGATGGTAAGAGAGTGAGCTGATACCCGTCTATATAAGACTATAAGTGAAAATCTTGTATCTACCTTGTTTTGCGCGGAATATCAGTTTACTACAAGCAATTCATTACGTAAAAAATAAAAATGCCAAAAAATGAAAGACAAAATCTAGAATAATTATATGAATAATTATCTTCACACAGATTTGAAAGTGGATGAAGGACATTATCTTAGGGGATCCTGCAAAAGAAACTCTCATCCATAAGATGTTAGATAGCAAATAATGCTAAAAAGCAGCCACTTACGTCAAAAGAAGATAACTGATGAACTGCATTAGTTCTGAGTCAGGAAACTCAATCTCATTAGAGTTGACTTGCTTCTTTAACTCATCAATTATATAGTTGGCATCTCGCAGGTTACCGAGGCTCAAGTACCTAAGAGTAAAAAAATCCTAAGTAACCAGTCTTGATTGCATATAAGAAAAGATAAATGGTCGTAATGTTCTTTACGAGACTCTTTAACTCATCAATTATATAGTTGGCATCTTGCAGGTTACCCAGGCTTAAGTTCCTAAAACTTAAAAGTAAGAAAAATCCGAGGTACCAAGTCTTGGTTGCATATAGGAAAAGATAAATGGTTGTTATGTTCTTTCACCGATTCTGCATTTGTCATATAAAACGCAGATGCCACAGACTCACTTAAGAAAGGTGACTAATGGAACGATTGGAAGAAAAACACTACAGGTTATCACGAGTGCATTAATAACAATCTATCAACCCATATATGATCCATTAAAATTCCAATCCCATTAAAATATTTTTCAGGGATGCATATGCTAAATTCCATCCCATCCATTTTCTTAAAGAATCTTTTGAGCAATGCATATATTGATTCTTTAACAAATACTTCCTCCGTCCCCAGGAGAGAGTAAAAGTTTGACCTTCCTGAAGTCCAAAAAAAGTGTGGTTGAAATTTGTTTAGAAGAAAGAGGATTGTTGTGTGCCACATATTTCTTTCCGTGGTGAATTTTTTTCAGGGACAACACAAAGAGGAAAGTGGTACTTTTATTTAGGGAAAAAGGGAGTACATAGTAATGGATAGAAAAATATATCATTAATAAATTTGATAGTACCACCTTTCAATGAATATTAAAAAAAATCAGATGCAATCCGATGAATTAAACATTAACCATCCACATAACACAGATGGAGGGAATACCTTCCATCCATTACTTTAAATTTTTAATTATGGGCCTAATTGAATAGATGGATGATGGGCGAATGGATTCTTTAGACACCACTAGTAGTTGTACTTGCATTTGGTCTTCTTAAGTTACATTTGTGAGAACTCGAGGGAGAACATATGACACAAGTTCATTATTAGTTTCATTAACTAAAATGGATCACAAGCCCACATTAAAGTAATAATATCAAATCTATCATTCCATCAAAGGTTGAAAAAAACAAATAATACAACCTTTGTCCCAAAATGAAGTTCTCATTCACTATTGACGGGGTCAAACTTTATCCTCTTTCTTAGCCTATTTTGGTTACTCATTTGATAAAATAATATAATGATGTCACCTCTTACTCCTTCCGTCCAACTTTAATCTTCCTGGTCAACTTTAATCTTCCTGGTTTGACCAGACACGCATATTAATGTGTGATAAAAATTACATTGACCTTCCAATTATACCCCTAATCAATCTACCACACCATTACGTCTCTCCACCATCGTGGGTCATCTGCCATTCCCAACACCACCGTTGAGGACTCTCCGGCATCACCGCGGTCCATGGATGAGCTCTCTCGCTCCAGTTGTTGCTCCAGTTGTTGCCATCCTCTCGTTGAAGAAAACTTGGGCAATGATGAATATCTTGTACATGTTCTTGTTGAAGACAACACAGCAACAGAGGAGCAGATCCGAAGTTTTGACGGTGGCAGAAGAGTGGATCTAAGGTGCTGCTAGCAAAGATGCATCTGATCTATGGATTCGTTCAAATCAAAAGCGGGTGATTGAAAATGGATTACCATCAATTATCATTCTAGGGATAGATTTGTTCAAATCGATCATGGATTATACCCATCCAGCAAGTAGATGCCGACGAAGGATGTGCAGATCTGCACAATCGACGGCGGTGGATGAACAGATTTGAGCATTTGCAGTGACTGGTGAGTCTACTGTGCAAAAATGAAGCTTCAGGAGAATGACTGGAAGAAGAAGATGATGATGAGAATGGAAGAGGAAGACTATGGAAAAAGAGCAAATTGGAGAAGACGAGGAGCAAGATTGAACGGCAGTGGTAGATGATTAAATTAGAAGTAAGAGTAGAAGAGCAGATCGGAGATTAGGTGCCACATTGAGAGAAATTAGGATGACGTGTTTAGAGTGGAGGGTAAAAGAGGTGTTTTACCATATTTTATTGCGAAAAAAGGAAATGGGAAGGTAATTAGTTGACGGACCAAAAAGGAAAGTGGGAATGTTAAAGTTGGACGGAGGGGGTATTTTGTAAACCTTTTGATGTAGTTTCTACATGCATAAATTTCATTTTTTTTAATACAACACCAATTTTCAAATAAATTGAAGTAAAAATAAATTTGGTCAAACATAGTAAACCAAAGATTCACTATTTTTGTCTTTGGGTTTGATGGAATAAAGCAAAATGGTTCTTTCAACTGTCTGCTCTTCTTTTTCAATAGTGAAGTAGTAATTAGTCAATGCAACTTTCCACGCTCATCATGTGTCATCCGGAAATAGCCACTGTATGTTTTAAACAAAGGGGTCATACTGCAAACATCCAACCCCCCTTAACCCGCAATGGGCGGGAGCCTTTGAGGCACTGGGGTAATATTGTTGTGTTTTTGTATAGTAAACCAACAGGGGAACATCATTTTGGGATGGAGGGAGTACTCCGCCCATTCCCAAATAAACTTCAGTCGACAGTATATGATGTTTAAGCAACATTATCTTCAATTAAATATATTTGTATATTGGTCCAAAATTAAAAATATAGAACTTACATGTCTCAAAACTACGTCAAAGGTTCTTCAAAACACGAGGTGACATGATTATGTTATCCCTATAAATGATTAAAGTAAATAACTAAAGAAAGACGCTATAAATTGACCCTGTGAATAGTGAAAGTGAAGGCTTAGTATTTTAGGGAAACTGAAGATGTAATTATAAATTATAGAACATAAAGAAAGTCATTAGTAAAAACTCCAGTAAGGTAGACTGGTATGATGGTACTACTGTTCAATACATGAAAGCCATAGAAACAAGAGCAGTAACTAATACACTGACACTTATCTACATTCCAATCATACTTACATCAATACTGCCCGAGCAATAGCCAAATCATCTTCTCCGGGGTAACACTGCATATTGACCAACACAGCTTACACTTATGAAAATTGTGCATTTTCCAGCTAAATATAGAAAAGGATTTTTTTTCATAAAAGTGAAACCTAACCTTTCCCATGAAATTGATAAGAGTTGAGACAAGCTTCTTTGGATTCTTTCCTCTGACAAAATGGAAAGATACTTTGCCCATGTCCTATTAAATATGAACCATAAGTATATTGGATGCCCAATGAACACGAAGCATCAATGTACAGTAGTATTTAGTATGTACTTTGTAATACTACATGAAGTAGTAGTCAAACAAACAAGGAGCAACAAAATATTTTCACCATCTTATGTGTGCAAAGTTGCAAATACACTTGCACACGCATATCAGTATATTAGGATGATGTACAAGAGAGGAAATGGAGCAATACTAGTGTCCTAGACACGCACCACCTCAGGGGACTCTGAGTATATATATTCAGCCAACATGTCATGAAACTCCGGAGATCCATACTTATGTGCTCCAAATTCTGAGGACCACCTGAAATAAAAGTTAGGGGAGTCATTTACATGCGTAATAAGTTAACGAAAAAAACTTTTTTGGTAAAACAAATGAAAGCATTGTAGTGTGGTGGGGGTTGAAACCATCAATATTGACAAGTAAAATGACCATTCCTGAAAGTATGTAGTTAAAATGAAGTACAAGATTAAGAGATACAAAAGGATGGGAAAGGGCAAGATTGTGATGAAAATTTTAAGGCCAGTGAATGTGGATCCATCATGGGGTAAATTTTTATCTTATCAATAATATGAGTTAGTAATCTCTTGTGAAATAGAAATTTATTTCACAACTATTACTTCATTGAGACACCACCACCAACAACAACAACCCAGTAAAATCCCAAAAAATAGGGCGTGCGTAAGCAGACCTTACCCTTATTACTCAAAAGTAGAGACTTCATTGAGTCACCAATCATTCATATAGTTTGTTCATTATCATGAACTACACTTGTCACTTGTTTCATACTTTCATTAATCATCCACTTTAACAGCAGTACCGCTAAACCTACCGCTTAGCTCTATAACAAGCCTAATTCCAGCTGCTACAACCTACCTCTTTAACTCTGGACTCTGGAGTAAACCTAATTTCATCTATTTTATGAACAGATGTTTGAGCCGTACAATTATGATGACTTTGCACACTTGCAAATTGATAAGTAATACCCCCGTATACAATTCATCAATAAACTACTTCTATAGATATATTTCACAAACAAAAAAACACATGTACACAAAGCAAGTAAAATCCCTATAAATAGTTCCCTGCATCAAAACTTTAATGAAAGAGAATTGATTTGTACTCGGAGAGAGATAGAGACTCACTTGATGGCAGCTTTTAGGAAGGATGAACAAGCCTCTACTCGTGTTTTTGCAGCGGTGAGGGCTTCTGTTACTTTTTGCATGTCATCATCATCAGCTAGTTCCAAGTGTTGTGGCACTGTACCCTTAGGAAACTTCTTGTAGATTTTCCTGACGCGGTCTAAAGATTAAAAAATATCATAACCAAGTGCATAAATGGATACAATTAATGAAGCACTATTATACATTAGAAAATTGAGAAGTCCTTAAGACAGCAATAGGAAGTCTTTCCAATTGCATGGTGCCAAAGTTTAAGAAAAAATCTTGCTTAAGCTCTTTACACTCTAGCCTTCGAAAGTTTCCCTAATAAATGATAGGTGTGCACAATCAGAAATAAATGTGTGAGAAAGATGTTTGGAGAGAAGGCCGAATTAAAGTAAAATGTGAGGATTGTAAGACACATCAATGCTTCCTATGTGTACAATTTACTGTAGTGAATAGCTATATACAACTACTGTACCAATTGAGTGCAAAATGCATGGAAATACATATATCTGCATCGTCTTGTTTCAATTAAGGAATTACTAACCAATAGTGTCATCGTCAAAAGATATTTTTCCTTTTACAAGGGTTTCCACGAACAAAACAGCAAGCTCTCCCCCACAAGTAACCTGCAAAACAAATCAACAAATTTGAATCGAATTCAAAATGCTTGTGTAATTACTAACCATATCAACAATACGCCTGTAGCAGAGAAAAATCATTACCTGATCATTCTCCAATTGTGCACACGCACCAAACTGAAGAAGATCCAAAGCATCGGTATACCTCTCAGTGGACACGTATCTGGCACCAGCCACCACATTTTGGAAATTGAGGATGTGTTGAGTAGAAAAATCTAGAAGCAACCAGAAGGACCAAATCTCAAGAAAGCAATCATGTAAATAATGAAACCTGGCACTGATAGACTTAAACATTTGCTGAGCTCCATAGTAGTTTCCCTCTTTCATTACATTGTCTAACTTGTCAATATTCTACAATCACAACCCACATTAAGTCAATACTAGCACTGAAATCATGTACTAATGATAGACGTGAAGCTTTCTACACATGCAGCCAAACAGAATATTGGAAGTGAAATCAAAGAAGACCACATGAACCGAATCAATAGAGTAAACCATAAAACACCAGATAAAAATTCGATTTCAAGCAAAGAATTGAAAAAAAAATATATGAATGGATCAAAGCACAATCACAGTCGATGGCGTAGCTAATTAACCTCCTGAGCAGGAGGCAGTATGGCTCGTTTGACTCTCTCGCGCAGCATTCTCTTTTAGGCCGTCTCTTCACAACTCCTCGCCAGCACTGAGGAGAAATCGACAGGTTCAATGGATACGACGTAAAATGGCCCGGACACGGCCGACTGGATATGCACACGGGCTCCGGTGGAGTGCAGGCGTCGGGGATAGTTGTTGTTTGGAAGAATCGGCGGTGATGAGGGACAATTGGGCCTCGATCTGTAAAATTTCACCTTCTGAAAGTCATTTACCTGATTTGTAAAATCTCACTTAAAACTTAAAATTTCGGATTGAGAACAAAGACAAACATGAGATATGATATTGAAAAGTCACAAGTAACACAATTATATACTCCCTACTCCGTATATTTTACTCTATATTTATAGCTAAATAGCACATATATTTACTTTAGATAAAGAATAAGAAGCTGTTTGTTTCAGCCTCTTAATGGTTCAGATGTCTGAATGGTTCAACACTTAATGGTTCAGACTGTTTGTTTTAGTCTCTTAATGGTTCAGATGTCTGAATGGTTAAGAGATTTGCCTCTCAATGGTTAAGTATTATACAGAGTCTGAATGGTTAAGACCTCTTATCTGAATTGATCAGACATTTGCCTCTGAATAGTTAAGCAATATACTAGCTCTTAATGGTTCAGACCTCTTACTGGTTTAGCACTTAATAGTTCAGACCTCTTACTGGTTCAGCATTTACCGATTCAGAAGTTGTCAAACAGCCCCTAAGTCTAAAATGACACCAGTGCTACTGGTGTCATTTGCTTACAACAGTTCGTTTGGGTACCTAACCCCGTTTGTAAAAATAACGGATCTTACCCTCCCCTTAAATCCCCCAACCCCACCCTTGCCCCCCACCCCAGTCCCCCCTCCCGCCCCCCTCCCTACCTGGCAGTGTACTGCCAGGGTAGGGAGGGGGCGGGAGGGGGAGCTGGGGTGGGGGGTTTAGGGGAGGGTTAGGGGGGTAGGAATCGTCATTTTTTCAAACGGGGCGCCGTATGTACCCCAAAGGAACTGGTGTAAGCAACTGGTGTATAAGTAACTGGTGTCATTTTAGACGCTCCCATAGATAAAATACAACCCCGCTCAAATTACCGTTCATCCTCTTCAACTCGACATTGATAACACCAAAAATTAACTTTCACGATTTCACCATCGTTCTTCTTCTTGTTGTTGTGCATATCGTTCCCACTTAAATGAATTTTTCATAAAAAAGAAACTAATCATGATTAGTTTGTGTCTTTTTTCATAAAACAACATTGGTATTAACAGTTTTTTGAGTAAAATATAATTTCTAAAAATTGTTAATCTATTCTTTTTTATAGAAATTTATTAAGCTAAAATATAGCTAATCTTATATCACATAATTAAATATGAAAAATTTATTATTAAAAATTAGTGTTTTATGGGTCTTAATATTATATTCAATAATTTTTAGTAAGAACAATTTCATGGTTTAATGTATTTCATAACTTTTTTTAATAATTATAATCTCCTTAAATCTGTAACATGGAATATTAAAAAAATCTATCAAGATTTAAATTTTTTAATGAGGTACTCCCTCCGTCCTATAATGTTCTTCCCACACACTTTTTACACAGTCAAATTTTAATCACTTTCTTTACCTATTTTTATTAGGTAAATGATAAAATAATATAGTCTTGTCACCATTTGTTTTGTAGAACTTTTGATGTAGTTTTTAAATATATAAATTTTATTTTTTTAATTTTACACCTACAATCAAATAAATTGATTTGAAAATAAAGTCGGTCAAACTTCGTAAAATGAACTGGGAAGATCATTATAGGACGGAGGGAGTATAATATATATCCACATCATGGTATCGATAGTTTTTAGTAGTTTAATTTTGAAATAAAGAGTGTTTATAAAGGACAAAATTTTATTTTTTTAATGAAAATATTTACATAAGAAAATATAAATTAATAAAAAAATTATTTTCATGATCTTTATTAACGGGATTTTTTGGGCCTTTATTTTTCTCTATTTGAACATAATTTTTCATAGGGAAAAAATATTACAGTAAAATTGAGAATTGAAAAAAAATATGATCTTGATATTCATAAATTTATAATTTAAAGTAGTGAATGAGAACTTATATTTTTGAATAGAATATATTAAAATAGGTTTAGTGCTCCATGTGGTTTGAAAAATATGTATGAATACCCCATTTGTTTTCAGAATTTATTTAAAAAATGTCAATCATTTCAAAAGATTGCACACGTACCACCTCAGTTCGTACTATTTTCTGTTCATTTTTGCACTAAAAAGAGAGACATTGATGCCAATTTTCTAATTTATATAGGCATCAATGCATATTTTCTAATCTTAATGAGGCATTAGTTTGTATTTCAAATTAAAAGACCGAAATAAAAAAATAACATATTTTTTCTCTATCTAAATAAAGTTAAACATTTGTGTCTTTATATTTCCCAAAGTAAAAAATATTTTTTCACGATCAAAAAAATAGAATGAAAAAATAGAATAAAGAACGAAAACAAAAGAATAATAGAAAATCGAAATGAAAAAAAGAAAAAGCTACAAAAATTCTCTTATTGAAAAGGAGGAATGCATCCATAAAATACACTAATAAGGTTTTTTTCTTAGAATGTCCAAAAATTTAAATTTTTGGACAAAATTCTTTTAGAATGATAAAAATAAATACTTTTTTTGGACCGATGCCTAATTATTTCAAAATGTTGTAAAAAATGACCTCTTCTTATTTTTAAAATAAAAAAGAATAATGTTTTTGAGAAATATCTAACAAATAAAGAGTTTTCTAGACATCCCAACAAATCATCACCCCACTCCATGGCTACGCTTTTACATTTTGTATTAGAATATTTTTTGTTTCTTTTTATTTTCCACTTCGTTTTACTATTCTTTTATTATATTTTATTTTTTCTATTCCTCATTGTCTTGAACGTCTCAAAAAGTAGAAAAATAAAAATATTTAATTTGAGACAGATAGAATATATGTTATATTTTTATTTTCTTTATTTCAATCAAAAAACAATTTTTAAATTTTGAAATATAATAATGCACAATTTAAAAAAAGAAATTAAAAAAACTTTTCGAAAAGGAAACAAAGAGACGAAAAAGGAGAAACAAAATGAAAAAAAATAAAAATGAATGAAAAATAAAGCACGTTATGGTGTCTGTGTGGTTTGAAAAACGAACACCAATCTCTTCACTATCAAACTTCAGTTGCACTCCCATAGTGTAAGATGCAAATGCTTGAATTTCACTAATGGAGGGGGCATAAATGAAATTTTTGGAAACCATATAGATTTATAGCTAAGTTTCGAAAAGAGAGCGGATATTGACTGAGACTTATTTTTGCTCTAGAGCTATTCACTCATATTTTAAAATATATTACCAACATAAAGACAAAATATTTGTATATCCTTTATAAAACGAATGACACTCCATCTTCGATGGCCCCTCAACATGAGCCGGACTGTTAGAAGCGCAACATGTGGCATATTTTTGACACTTAAGCTGATACTTAATTAATGGCTTGGATAAGAAATAACTTTTGTTTCTAAAAAGAAATATTATAAAAAAGGAAATATAATCTAAAAAACCGACAAAAAAATTATTTTTCTAATTTTATATTTTTTCACTTCACTATATTATAACTAACTTGAGAAAAAGTTCTACCCTTCACTATATTTTCAGTTCAAAATATTTTTTCACTTCACTATCTTTTTTGTTAACAAAATTAATGATTTCTACCCTCGAAGTCGCAGTAAACCCTCTCACCCCGGAGCCAGTGGCTCTAGAAGCATTCCAGTAATAGTAAGATTATTATTATTATAAAAATGGACACAAATAATTTTTACATCACAATTGAAAGAAATAATTAAGAAGATGTTAGATGAAACTAAAAATAATAGAAAGAAACTTGAAAAAAAGTTGGAAAAATTAAGTTGGTTGAAACTAGAATGAACTAAAAGAAACTAATGGTATGGTTGGGAGCATGAATTTGGATTTCAAACCCGGATTCGGCTCAAATTCCAAGTTTGGGAAATTTAAAAATTTTGAACTTTGATTTGAGTCAAATTCTTTTCATTCATAACAAAGGTTAATTCAAAATCTATGCACCTCCCCTTGTCATTTGAAATTCAAGATTTCAAATATTGAAATTGAAATGCATGAATTGAAATGAAATGCTTGTTGCCAAACACTGCATAAAAGGAGTTGGAAAGTAACAAAGAAAACTGGAAAATATTAGAAGTTATGGGTGGATTTGACGTGGGAAAATATGTGTCTAGACAATTTTTTTGGGAAAAAATTATTTTCTCAAAATCCCCCCCCCCACATATTTTATTGAAATATTGTTGATATTTGAATAAAAAATATATTTCGAGATAATTTTAAATATTTTATGGGGCATTGTTTGTTTTTTATACACAATCAATTTTAAATCTTCTTTATCGTGCTCCATTCTTATGGGGCAGGCAGGGGGAGGGGGTGGTCGGGGGTAGGGATGTAAATAAATCAAATACTTTTAATTCGGTTCATGATTTGTATTCGAATATAATGATTCGAATTCGCATTATTCAAATACAAATTCAAATTCAAATATTAGTTTTGATTCGAATATTATACAAATACAAATACAAATAGGAGTATATTCGATTCGGGTGATATTCGAATATATGTATATACCCACAAACTATGTTTCAACATCAATAGTCAAGTAAACAAATAATACAGTATAAAATATATTTATATTACTAAGCTAGAATTCAACAAACTAACGTATCGCAAAAATCTAAAATATATGATTTTTAGTTATATTTTATAAAATATAATTTGTGTAAGATGAAAATGTAATAACGTTTTTAGATATAATATAAGAAGTATTGTAAGTTAAATTATTCAAAATCTATGGTGGTCCATCATATAAATTATGGAGTATAATTATTAAAATATTCGTATAGGATTCGTTAAGTATTCGAATATTAATCAAATATAAATTCAAATCTTATTTTTAATTTGTTTCATATTCGAATTCGAATTCGTATTCAAAAAAATTAAACAAATACAAATTCAAATATTTCGATATTCGTTCCGATTCAGTTCGTTTATACCCTTAGTCGGGGGGAGGGGAGAGGACGGGGTGAGTGGGGGAAATCCTTTTTTCTAAGAGAAATGATCTCATACCACTTATGAAACCTAACATGGAAAAGTAGAGTTTGATCATAAGAGTTAAAATCTAAAAGAACATAATCTTAAAAAATCAAAAAATATTTTTAAAATTGACACAAAATTTGTTCGAACCCGTGCATGGCACAAGTAAAAATACTACAAGTAGCAAATTACATACTCCCTCCGTCCCAATTTGATTACAAATTGGGGTTTACAAGGAGAAATATCTCAGTTTTCGAAATCATTTTATTTATAAATCGGTATATCGATAAAAAATAAAAATTAGGGAGTACATATTAAAAAACTACGTCAAAAGTTCTACAAAACAAGAGATAACAAAAATATTTTATTTTATCAAATACTCAATGAAATTGCATAAGCAAATAAAAATTATTGCGAGAGAGGAAAAAATACTAATCAAATTAGGGACGGAGGGATTACAATTTAACTCCAATCAAAATACTCCGGTATAAGCAGTCAAGCTAAACATACTGGTGTACGGAGTACTCCGTAATTTATTACTCCTTATTTTGACTGTGGAGGGTTATCATAGATTCATTCACAAATCACAATATAGAGGGATTGCAGTGAAGTCTCATCGCAACCGGGAGAGAAAGGAAAGGCGCGACTCCGCCGTGGAGTCGTCATCCATAACCGAGACAATCGGCAGAGCTTTTCGCCGAGACATGTTTGAAGGTCTAGTTCGGCAGCTGCTGTTGGGGTACCTTGGCCGATATATTCGCGATATTCAAAAGGAGCAGCTCAAGATCACTCTATGGAACGGTAGCTTACTCATCTTTTGAAAAAAAAGAAATGCACTTTCTTTCTACTCGGATAATCTATTTATTTTGATCACTTTCAGGGGAAATTGATTTAACTGTTGGCAATCGTTACCACCCTACATTAGTTACTTCCTTCCTCCCATAATTGTGTTCATGTTTTAGACTGGCTTTTTGATAAAGTGAATACTCTGTGTTTAAAAATTGTTTGGAGTATTGAGAAACAGTTTCCAAATACGGAGTAGAAAAGAAGGAACAAAATTATGACATGGAGGGAGTAAAGATATTCTTCTTTGTTTCTTCACTGGATTGTCCCAATTTTATATTAAAAATATACATATTATGAGTATTTTACTACAGTGTGTGTGTGTGTGTGTGTCCCTGATCGATTCTAAACCAAGGGGGTAAATAGAGTAGAGAGAGAAAGCTCAAGTATGCATTGCAATGGTGAGAACAGAGACCAATCCTTCCTCCACTGGGTGGAGGAGATTTATATTTTGGATTTTGGCTTTTGAGATGCCTTTGGGCTGTTTTGATTAACTTTGATGCTTTGATGGTCAAAGAGCCTAATGCAGTGTTTGGGAGTTAGCTCTTGATGTCCGAAAAGCCAAAATACAAAAAGTGAGGGGAGTAGCATTTCGGGTTGGCTATTAGACAAAATAAAATTTATTATTATTATGTCCTTCTATATTGAATAAATAAACAAATACTTATTATATATTTAAAAATATGCCCAAAGGACCTGTAAAATAAAAAAAATTTATTGGGATAAAAATATTAAATTTGTTTTGAGTTAAAAATAAAAAAAATTAAATTTATTTTTATTAAAAAATTGGGATAGAAATAAATATAAAATTTATATATTTTAAAATTACATGAAAAGTTCTACAATGTGAAAGATAATATGGCTATCTTTTTTATGAAATGATAAATGAAAACACAAAGAATAACATAGAATTTTATCTGGTGATGGGGAGAGTATGCATAAATAATATGTTTATGAATTACTCGTATATTAGATTATATTTCAAAGCTTATTATATTATACGAGGCTACGAGCATAAATTTCAATTTATAGTATATAAATTATATTAAACTTTGTATTTTTGAAATTATATCATATAAATTATATAAATGAGAACATGTCCTTAAATTTAACTTCATCTACAACAACTATTTAGGAGCAACTAAGTTTAGCAAATATTTCCCCCTGATTAAATGCTTTAAGGCTCAAAGTTTGGGTTTTTCTAAAGCATGCCCTTGGGCTCATGATAATCAGCAATAAATGAGCATTTAATGCTTCTAGTTTTCTCAAATTATTATTGATAATGGCAACTACCAACAAGTGCATTAATTTTAGTGAAAAATGGACGATTGTATCTGCTTATTTAAATCTTATTTATCTTTTTCTTGAAATTTGTCAAATCTTTTGTTAAAACATGAATATGAAGCACATTATTTGCTCTTATCATGTGCGCATGGTGCACACTAGAAAAAACTCTTTCTCTTATATTGGTGACTTCATCACATAGGTATATAAGTTTGCTCTAGCCATTTCATGCTACTTACAATCATCTGAAATTTAAATAAAACAAACTATAGCAATCATTTTTACGTTGCAGAAGAGGTATTATTGGAAAATGTTGAGCTGATTCTTGAAGCTTTTGATTACCTCCAGCTCCCATTTGCTTTAAAAGAAGGTAAAGTTTCTTTGTCCTTGCTTATTATCCTGCTAGTTGTTCCATTATAAGAACTGAATTGTAGAGTCCTTTAAAAACATTATTTACTATTGTACTCTCAAAACTTGCAACTATTGCTTTGAGTTTAGGTTATGTTTGTAACCTGCATGGTTTTCAAGTCATACAGAGAAGCACATCATTTTGTCTTCTATGATATACCTATGATATGGGATTGTGGTTCAATATTATAAAATCATAATACTAAAATCATCGTGTCCTTGAGCATTTTCTACACTCTGCCTATTCTACTCATAAAGATGAATTTTAAGACTCAAGGGCTATTCACTTTATATTATCTCTTTCTCAATGATCAAGTTCATTTGTCTCTAATCTATAGGTCATGTTGGCAAGTTGAGTATTAGGATTCCGTGGAAAAAACTAGGATGGGATCCTATTATTATCATTTTAGAGGATGTATTGATATGTGCCTCTCAACGAGATGAACAAGAGGTAACATTTATAATTGTATTGAAATCTGATATCTTCAACTCCATATAAACCATTTTAGATTCCCACATTTTAGTTTGCCGGTGCTGCAACAATATGCTTGTTTTCTTTTTGAACAACTTCATTATACTTCATGAATTATCAAACTTCATATTCAATCTTAAATTAAAATATCAAATGCGACCTATATATTTTCTCCAATTTAGAACTCATAACACATACGGAGTATATGCCAATTAATTTTGTCTAAATCTGGTAATAGAAGCGAGACAAAAGTAAAGAAAAGGAAGGATTCGTAAAGAGAGTGAAGGCACTTTATTTATGATATCCGTTCAATGAAGAGTAACAAGAAGATACAACTTGATTGAATCACAATTCACTAAAGGCAAAAAAGGGGAAAAATTAAGGTCGAAAGAAGTCTATACTCTCTAATCTCTTTGCATATCTGGAATAGCCACATTGATACCTAGCGTTTTCTAAAAGGCCAAGTGAATGTGTTAATTATTCGATGCCTTGTAAGTAATGTTATCAAAAGAAGCATTCTAGGCCTTCATTGAAAGATCATATGGATTATGGATATAGTCACACACACACATCTATTTAAAGTATCTCATTATACTACAAATTGCAAATGTTATACCCTTATATATTTATCCACTAAGTGAAAGTGATTTGAATGGGACCCAACTGCAACACGTAACTAGTATGGAATACTTTCAACCACCGTGATCTTTCTTCCTAAGAGTTACCTTGACAGTGGAGCATGGATGCCGTTAGAAGAAGAGAATTTGCAGGCAAAAGGGCCAAACTTGCCACAGCTGAACTTGGAAAGCTATCTAGACGTGTTTGTGGTAAGTAATATGCATTCATTTGTGTAATTTTATTGAGCTAGAAATTATCATTTGTTGTTGCATTGTGGGCTTGCTTTCAATAAAAAAGATTTGATGCTTTTAGAGTTTTAGTTTGATAAAATATGTGGTTCTCAATTGAACTTTAACAAACTTTCGCTAAAATGCTCATTATCTCCTAGTGGGAGTTAGAGTGATTTCACCTTACTTGCATACTTGCTAATGATAAAATTGTGGGTTTTGACAAATCTAATGGGTTTTGACAAATCTAGGATATGTCTATTGGCCCAGTTTAAGACACCTCAAATAATTCACTCATATCTAGTTGATTGGCATTGGTATCTAAGCTACACACAATTTGTATCCAATAACTTACTCAGACATCACTATTTTCTATGTCATATTGTGCATTGAGCTCATTTTTTTCATTTATGTACCTTGGTTTGTTAGAGAAGCTTTACCATTTTGGTTATGGGCAATTATTTTATGAAGAAATATAGGATCTTGAATACTTAGGAAATAATGAGTTTGTGTTTCTCCCCCACCTGGGTAAAACTATTGTGAGTTGTCAGAATCTTGTTGATTGGGCTCGATGTTTGTAGGGTAAGGTCATTATAAGGACAACCTTTTTTTATATCTTAATCTCTTGGAAAGTAAGAAAGAATATCTTGTTCCACATTCAAGTTCAAAAGTATAATATAGATCAGTGACACTTGTGCATGTAACCATAGTTGTGAAAAGCACGCTCAGGGCGTGATGAGCACGAGGCGCAGTGCTATGTGCATTATCCCCTGTGACGTGTGCGATGTACATTAGGCGTGCACAGTATAGCTTTATGCGATGCCATTTGACTAGTACTGTCATAGTTAATGGTAATTTTAAACATGCTAATTTTTGTTAAAAATAAAGCATGCTTGCGCACAAGGTGTAGTGCTCTGTGCATTATCCCCTGTGATACATCAACCCGGTAGGATCCCACAAAAGTGAGGTTTGGGAAGGGTGTGTGTACCCAAACCTTACCTCTACTAGAAAGTAGAGAGGCTATTTCCAAGATACGCATTATCCCTTGTGACAGCGTAAATTAAATTTTTTAATTTTTTCAGTATTTGAATAAATTGATATGAAAATAACTTTAGTCAAACAATTTAAACCAAAATGTAAAGTTTATTTATGGTTTGTTTTGGTAGGAAGAGAAGTAGAGTGGAAAGAACTAGAGTGGAAAGAAGTAGAGAAGAAAAGAAGTAGAGTGAAATTAGGGTGGATTTTTGAAGTGTTTGAATGGATAGACATGTGAAAGAAATAGTGTGGAAAGAAAAAGTGAAAATAGATAAAATGACCTTTTGCCCTTCTAAGTAAAAAACTAATAAGAATAATAAGGGAAAAATTGGAATATGCAAAAATGAATGCACACTTGTACGGAAATATCTCCATCAACGGAGAGAAAAATTTGTGGCCTCCGCTTAATCTTTTTCTCTCCTTCATTTTTCTCTCTGTCAAAACACACAAAAGATTTCCATGCTTTCTTTTCCATTTATTTCTTTCCTACTTATTTCCTTTCAAATCCATCAAAACAAACAAAGTCTTAGGAAGGGAGGGAGTAATATGTTCCCTTTACCTGATCCATCACGGCCCACAAGTAGAGGTAAGATCTGTTTACATCCTAACCTCCCAATACTCCACTTGCCACTTGTGGGATTACACTGGGTTTGGTATTTTTGGTGTCCCTGACATATTTTTGGAATTTAGTTTTGGCTGTTTTGCCATTCCGTCCACACTTGATATAGTGATATCTACCAAAATGTGTCTCATCGTTGAAATTATTATAAGATTTATAACTTGGCTGATAGTGTGCTTTACATTCCACAGATAGTCAGGCCGGAAAATCATTTATTTCATACATTACTGCAAAGGTAGTATTGTTACTGTACTTCAATGAAACAGGGATTCACTAAGTTATTTTGTTTATCATTGTGATATTTTTACTCTCATTATCATTTTGTTTTGTCTTCCAATTTCTTAGATTCTTGAGAACATCCAAGTGTCTATTAGGAACATGCACATTCTCTATCGCGACATGCAAACTGCTTCGGTAAAAGCCTCCATAGCATTCCATTTTTGTTTTTTCCTTTCATTTTTGTGTTTTCCCTGATTTTTTGCATTTCATTTTCTTTTGCTCTAATCCATGAATGAAATACAATGATAGACTTGTTTACTCACACATTTATTATGATGGACATTGTTGTTTATTGTCCAAGCTTTCTGTCTCCCCACTCAACTTTCTTCATTCCACATGCTCTTTCTTTTATGTTTTAAAGGTTGGAAAAAATACTCACTAGACACTGTCATACAGAGTTAATAAAGTAGTAATACAGTACTACATGCAGAACATTTTCACTATCCTAAAAAAACCTACAGCCATTTTCAGATTAATTGGATATTTTAGACTATCTGCAATCTCCATATATACCAACAATAATTATTGTGGGGAGATGAGAGTAGTGTGTAAGTGCTCTAGTGCTCCAGTTTTTTTGGTTTGTTAATTCAGATGCCATAGTGCTCTAGTCCTCTAGCTTGCTGGTTTCTTGGCATTTAGGCTGCTGCATCAGTGCCCTAGTACTCTGTTTTGCCATTATTCCTCTATTATTTTCTGTTGATGAAAGTTATGTTTTTACAGGGAGTTACTGGGTTTGGTTTGAAGTTTTCAAGCTTGACAATCATGAAGCAGCACCTTTTTGGGTATTCTCTTCAGTAATGCTCTGATTGCCCAATTGCTATTTGTCGAGGAAATATATGAAATAAATGTTTATCTCAGGTTTGAACTTTTAGTTGGAGTACATACTTTGGAGGCAAAAGGCTCTAGTCTCAAACACACCACCAGTTACCAACACATTCAACATGTTTCCACGTATTTGGTTTATCAACAAATATTTGGCCCAAACATGAGAGGTGGAGTTGGTTATAAACAAAAAATAAAGATGCGCATAACAAATACTCCATCCATCCCGGAACGAACTTCCCAAGTTGACCCGGCACACTTGCTTTGGAGAGTTAAAAATAACTCTGATTTTCCTTAATACCCGTACTGTTCACTCATTTGTCCTGTTTACTACTTTATCACTGGGATAGTTGGCCAAAAATGTTGAACATGGAAATGGTATGGTGAAACGTCGAACAGGGAGATGGCCGTGCTGCCACTGGCTGCCATAACCGCAGCGCTGCTGACTTTCTTGAAGAGATGGAAACTATTTTTGTTGATATATTAATTAAGGTACTAGATCATTGAAGGTTAATCACAGCTACTGCCTAATCACCGCCGCTGTCTACTCCTCCCGCCGCTGCTCCTTCGATCAAGGTTGCCAGCTCCTTCTGCATCTCATTTGCCATGGACAGTGCAACAACAATAATGAAGCTGAAGGAAGAAGAAGAAATGCTATAGTGAAATAAGATCTAGGGTTGGGAACTTGGGTGGGGTGGGAAGAAGAAGAAATTGGGTTGGACGATGCTCACAGGGTTGGGGCAAAGGGTTATTGAGGTGAAGGTTGTCGGCGGCTAGGGTATGTGGCTGGGAAAAAAGGAAGAAGAAGAAATTGGGCAGGAAGTAATTTGGGTAGAATGGTAGATGAGAAAGGGTACATTAGTACATAGAACATTTAGTACAACAACATTGACCTAGTGCCTCAAATACTCCTGCCCACTGCAGGATAAGGGGGGTCGGATGTACCATGTACGCGCTTGACCCCTATGTTTAAAGCATAGAGCGGCTGTCTCCACATGACCCATCATGAGTGCCGAAAGTTACATTGACTTAACTGCTACTTCACTGTTAATGGAAGGGAAGTAAATTGTACATAGCCATTTTGCTTTGTTCCATCTTACCCCAAAGCCAAAAATAGTGAATCTTACAAACAGGACATTTAATACTCAGTATAAAATAATATTCTAAATAAGGAAATGAGAAGAAAACTCTTGGACGGTCCAAAAAGAAAAGTGTGAAGCACAGGGTGTAACCATTAGCTTGGACTTTTATCTGATAAAGTAAACCTTAACACTGTCTCCTGGCGGAGCATGTGACAAGGACAAGGACGTAAAAAGATCCTTTTCATTTCTAGTTTTGGTGCTCTTAAATATGACATTTAAACCTCTGGAGGTTTTTATAAGATAATTATAAGATAATGAGCAAAATAGATGATTTGCTTTAGTCATTGTTTCTCCAAAGGTTTTTAAACAATATTTCCAGTTTTTGTTATGCTTTCAAGATGTATTATTCTTTCAGCTCTGGTGGGAAAGTGAGGGGAAGCCATGTGAATAAAATTGTTGAAGTTCAAGGGCTGGAACTCTACTGCTATACATATCAAGGGTCTGATAAATCAAGAAGTGTAGGCAATTCTGTGGATTCAAAAACTTGGGAGAGTGCAATATCTCAAGCTAGTGAGAAAGTTAATTTATTGGCCCCATTGGATGTTTCACTGTGCCTCTCGGTATGTGCTTATATTATTGACAATGTCTTAGTTTCAGGTACCTAAGGGACTAAATCAAAATGACACATTAAACTTCTTCATGTGCTTCTTACTTTCTATGAAGTTTGGGCAGTAAGACTCTGTACATCAAGGGATCGAGACCCCCTAACCTTAACAGAGTTGGGATTTTGTTGGGTTGTTTTCATCTTAACCTACGGACACTTCATCGAGTGCTCGAGACCTCTTCCCTTCATCGTTGACACTATAAGAGCTTGTTCTCTTCAACTTATTCTTGTTACTTAAATAAACTATAACTAGACCTTAATAAAACAAGATGAGATCCAATCAGATTTGACATAGAGAACAAGCTCTACATACTTGTAGTGGTTCCATACTGAACTGGTTACTTAAGATCTTTTCATTAATTTCTCGTACTTCATTCCTTTGTGTTCATCAGGTTCGTAGCAAAACATCCTTGCAGGTTCTCAACATACATTCAAACCAGCTCAATTATAATTTCAATAACCTGTTAAGTTTGTAAAGATCATAGTTATTAAGGTGTCGCTTAGGCATTAAAGCGCTTTGCCGTGGATGGCTGGATGCCTTGTCTGACGCCTCGCTCAAATAACCTTAAGGCGTTTGCCTAAGCATCACCTTACCGTCGCCTAGCGCCTAGACGCCCCGTCCTTTAGGCCATTTAAATTTTTGAAAAGCCCAATTTTTTTTATAAACTTGACTTATCATCGCCTAATCCTTATAATCTTTAAACCTATAGTACGCTGCTATCTTTCTCGATCTTCTGGGCAGCCAAATTGGTGCCTCTATCAGATTATGTGTCGATTTTAATTACATATGCTGTGTACATGTATATATGTGTTGTGTATAGGTCACCTAATTGTCGCCTACGTGTGCGCCTAATCGCCTAGGCGATATGAAGGTCCATCAACGCCTCAACTCGACTTGTCGCCGTAACAACCTTAATAAAGATAGTGACCCAACTGTCATTCTTTAAGCTGAAACTTGGAGAGAAAGCTGATATACTTTGAAAACACACCAAGTAGTTGCCCCATTTGAGTGTTCATACTCGACGTTAAACTTAAAGTGTGGAAAAGTTCATTTGCTGAGCCCTTTGTATTTCTTGCATCACCTTGATACAGTCATGTTTGCTAATGATACTGTCAGTGATAGATAATCTATTGCCAATGATTTCCGTGTCACTAATTTTTACCCCTTTGCATATAGGTGAATAGATCTGCGGGCTTTGACAGCAGTACTCCACAGTATTTAGTAAATATTCAGTTAAAAAGCATGGTTTGTAGAATTCTTCCTTCTTTGCATTGTAAGCAAAGTAGCTAAGTGGTTGTGTTTTTGAGTAAAGTGGCTAGCAACATCTTTTATGACATGTGTTTAGCTCATTTATGTGGATGAGGTTCAAATACAACAAGTCATGAGCTTTTGTGATTATTTGCTGACATCTCAATTGCGAGAGAAGTAAGTTTAAACTAATTTCTTTTCAACCTTCTTGCTTTTTTGCCTTTATCACCCCCAACCGAAATGTTGGTATGCCTTTGTTTGAATACCCATCCTTAGGTTTGAATGTTCAATCTGTAGGTATGGGCGATACCGTCCTTGGTGGAGCCCTCTGGATAAAAAACTAAAAGGGTGGCAAATTGCATGGTGGCACTATGCTTTAAATTCTGTTCTCTTCGATATTCACAAGAGATTAAGGAAAACTTCTTGGAAGTACCTTGGAGCGAGGCTGTAAGTTGGAGAGATGCTGTAGTTTTATAATGTGGATACTTGTCAATTCTGTGTAGTCCTTGCGATTTAATGCTTGACACCATATGTTGTTATTTTGGTCTTGTGCTGAATTAAAATACTTGCCCTTACGAAATGCAATTCATGCCCTCAACGTCTTGGCAGAAATATTCGTCGGAAATATGTAAACTTATACAAGACAAAACTGAAGTGCCTTCAACAAGAGCAGGTAAACCTTTTTTCGAAGTTAAATCTACTTGCAAGAATTTAGTTTTTTTTCCCCTTGAAAATTTGCCGTGCCTTGATGTTGACTGTTTGTGTTAATATACCTATCCTAACATTTACCGGATAAAGGCACAAGAGGGTGAGAGTGATTGCTCTTATTATGGAGCATACATTGCTGCTTGGAGTACCGAATAGAGTGAAAAAATTGACTAAGTAGGGGGACCAGGAGCCATTGACCTACATTTTTAACTAGCATTGTAATAGGTTTCAGAATATTCTTGATGTTGCATACTTACATTTCTTTTTCATTTATACTTTGTTTGGTTCAAGGAATTTGAAAGGAAAAGAAAAGAAAATAGTTTTCCCTCATTTTCCTCACCAAAATTGGAAGGAATTTGGTTTTCTCTCCTCTAAATACATTTTGCCTACTCATTTTCTTTTCTTTCCACTTTTCTTTTCCTTTCCTCTCTAACCAAACAAAAAAGTGGTTTTCCTTCTCATTTTCTTTTCCTTTCACTCTCAAATTCCTTGAACCAAACATAGTGTTAAGCTTTTGATGTAATGAGATGAGTTCAGTTATGTGAATAATTTGAATTTCTATAGAAGTGATAATAAATTACAAGATGGACAGAAGGGAATATGGTCTGCATTCTACAAACAGGAAATTTTAGCGACATCTAAATCATGAGTTCATGGATGGAGTGAATATGGGTTGTGTTTCCACAATTGCAAAACATGCTCAAAGCCACAAAGTACCATAGTCCACGAGCCTAAATCCTAGTTTGACAAGCCTTACTTTCTTGGACTAAACCAACATGCTTCATTGCTAAGCGGAGGAGGACATGCATACTAGATTATAAGAAGCAGCACAAATCAAAAATCGAAATGCACAACATATTGGGTGTATGTGTGTGTGTAAATTTTAGACTGGGTTGTATGTGATTGGTCATGTTATTAATTTATTATATTATTGACCCAAATATAAGCTGGTGTTTCAAACAACATTCACTGGCCATGGTTGTGACTAAGCAGCGCCAATTTTCGGAAAAATCTACAATCTTTCCATTCAGTTTCTTGCTATATCTCTTTTAAAGTGAAGTTGGATAAGAGAGTCTACCACTTTGGGGAAGTCACCAAGCACAACCTAACTAGGCAGTACTGTAGACAGTAAGGTCTAAGGTAAAACTTCACAGGTAATACTTTCTTACACAATTGCAAGGCATTAGTATCCTTTTACGTAACAAGAGTTAAGATGAAAATGATGTGAAGAGATGTAAGTGTTTATCTTGTTGGCATAGTTGCGTAGAGATATCAGGAGATCGGTGGCATATGGAAGGCTTGTTGCTGAAAAAATCTGTGTCACTCATTTAAGCTCTTTTAGATGAGCCGGGGCTTTAGTGTTGGGAAAACTTCTCTCAGAAGTGATGAAATAGGGAGGGATTGGGGGGGGGGGTGCCTAAACATTGTTAGCCACTGTTATCATAATGTTTTGCAAGAAATATATTATGTCATACTAGAACAGTTGAAGAAAACTCATGATTAAACACACACACACACACATATGTATATATGTCATAGAGAATGAGTGCGTCTAGAGTATATCACTAGCATAGAAAAAATCACCATGTTCATTCACCTAGGGCATTTCAACACACACATCACCCATGCTTAATAATTCAACAAACTGCAAAGAAAGTATAACCATTAACCTTTATTACATATCAACATTGTAACCTCGATTCAAGAAGATTCTAACTATTCTGACACTCATCCTTGGGATCTAGTTGATGGGATGCTGTGTTTTGAAACCAAACTACACATTTGAATCTAGAATTCTAGACCTGGGAACTGCAGTTGATAAGTGAAATTGCAACTAGAGCAATAATAGAAAACTAGGATGTGCATCACACAATTGCAAGTTTAGTCACAGTAGGATATTGTGGCACATTGCCACATTAAGAAAATAATCGGGAGCTGTAATAGTAAGATAGGGACTATAACTACAACGGCAAATGGGAATTTGGAATTGATTTATAACGTCACACAGAAGATTATCCAGCAAGTCACATTGAGGGCAACATGAAATACACCCTCTGTCCATTTTTTATCTTCCCACTTTCCTTGTTCATCCGTCCAATAATTATCTTCCCATTTCCTTTTTTGGTAACTTTTTTATGCTAAAAACTCTCACCCACCCACTCCATATCTTTTCCGATACTCCTAGCCTCGCCTCCCGCCGTCAAAACCTGGGATATGCTCTTCCGCTGTTGTGTTGTGTTCAATGAGAATGGGAGCTGCAATTATAGCCCAATTATCCATCCTTTGTTTTGATTTTCAATTTTTGTCTAACTACGTTCAACTCCTTCTGTACTCTCGCTCCTTGCTTTTGTTCAATTATAAATAAAGAAAAGAAGTTGTTTGTTGTAGACTTCAGAGAAAAGAAGCACTATGAGGATTCGTTTCAAATGAGTTGAACACATGTAGAACAGATTCATCCTTGCTCGGGTTGTCTTCAACGAGAAAATCCAAAACAGATCTACGAGGGTGGGTTGCATAGGGGATGGCGGCGACAACAGCTAGATAGGTCATCCGTGGTGGTGCCAGAGAGTCGTCAGCAGTGGTGTTGGCAATTGAAGACTGCTCACGGTGATGGAGAGACGTAAGGATGTGGTAGACAGGTTAGGGGTATAATAGGAAAGTCAACACTATTTTTATCACATCTTAATATCCGTGCTCGGTCGGACCGGGAAGATAAAGAATGGACGGAGGGAGTAGGAAGAAGTCAATGAGTTTGACACATGTACAGATTAACATTAAAATATTTTTACATATGAAAATTTGACCTACTATTAGTCCTGCAGTTTTTTTCTGTAGTAACGCCAAAAGCTTATTCATGTGTTTCTGTAGATGCTCATTATTCAGTGGTTCATTTTTCTCCAATCTTAGTTTATTTAAATGTTTTCATCTCTTCAAAACATTTTAACACTACTGCATCGGTGGGGGGCTTACTTTCATGGGCTAATGAATGCTCCATGGGAAGGGAGGTTGGTACTAGGTGAGCTGGGTCAACTGAGAGGCATTAAGACTTATTATTGCTGGCGTATTAGTCAAGTAGACGCGGTGAGGGCCATTTGCTAGATGAGAGGGGGGAGAGCCTTGGGGCTGGATGAGATTCTGGTGGAGTTCAAGAAGATTGTGGGCAGCTCTTGTGGAGGTGTCTTAGTGTCTAGGGTTCAGAGGGGTTCCAGTTGCTTACACCCATGCTGTAAAAAAGATGTGTGTCATGGTGAGGACCAGGGTGAAGACTATCAGGGGTGACTCAGACCCCCCCTTCCCAGTAGAGGTGGGGTTACACGAGGAGTATACCCTTAGTCCTTTTTTGCTTGTATAAGTGATGGATGTTCTGAATGTCCAAGAGGAAGTTCCTTAGTGCATGCTATTTGCTGACTATATTGTAGTGATTGATGAGGCACATGATGGACCCAATGATAACTTGGAAGTACGGCGTTACTCCTTGGAGTCCATAGGCTTCCAATTTAGCATGACTAAGACCAAATATGCAGTGTGTTGCTTCGGTGGTTAGGTGTTAGAGGTTAAAGTGGAGATAATGATTGGTTCACACTCAGTGCCTAAAAGAGAAGTTTTGGTACCTTGGTTCGGTTATTATTATTATTATTATTATTATTATTACTACTATTACTATTATTATTATGCCTATTATTATTATTACTATTACTATTATTATTATTACTATTATTATTATTATTACTATTATTATTGTTACTATTACTATTATTATTATGACTATAATTATTATTACTATTGTTATTATAATTATTACTGTTATTATTATGATTACTATTATTATTCTTACTATTTTTATTATTATTACTATTATTATTAATATTTCTATTATTATTGTTATTGTTATTATTAATTTTTCTATTATTATTATTACTACTAGTATTATTAGTATTATTATTATTATAGTTATTATTATTATTACTATTATTATTATTACTATTACTATTAATATTTCTATTACTATTATCATTTCTATTATTATTATTACAATTATTATTAGTATTATTGTTGTTATTATTATTATTATTACTATTCTTATTAATATTATTATTATTACCATTACTATTATTATTATTTCTATTATTATTATTATTATTACTATTATTAATATTTCTATTATTATTACTATTATTATAACTATTACAATAATATTTTTAATTTTAATTTAAATCAAACTTATATCACATCAGATCAGACCAGATCAGATCCGATCAGATCAAAACTTCAAAAAATCAGATGAGATCCGGCGAACGGAATGCAGTCCGGGCCACAACCACAAGCTTGAGCTTTTGGTTGAGTTGGTTCCTTGACAGAGGAGTGCAAAGAAGCTCCAAATACATTGTGAGAGACTTATGGTTGTGAGTAACTGGGCATGAGAAGGGTTGGAGGTAGACCTAAGAAGAGTTGAAAGGAAATGATTTGAAGGATATGTTTTGACATGATTTAAACGTCTAGAAATTTAGGATTAGAGTACCTGGGTAGACCGTTTGGCCTTAGTTTATCATTTATGATGGTGCGTTTTTACTCTAGTCTCTGTGCTCTTACTTTTCTCCTGCTCTTATTTTGCTCTTTAATCTTACTTTGTTTTTGCTATTGTGTTTACTTTCTTGGTGTACTTGTCTGTGCTTGTGTTAGGCTTCAACTCAAGGTGGAAGGAGGGGGAATCAGGGCTGAATGGATTCAGGGAGACAGTAGGTGTCTTGGGTTTGTTTTGGAAGAAGATTTAAGTAAAGAGATGGAAGTATTTAGAGGAGGGATTTCCTGATAAGAAAATGGCAGCAAAGGGAGGATAGGTTTTAGACTATATTTTGTATAAGGAAGGGTGAAAATGAGTTGTATTTAGAGGAGGGAATGGAGGGGCTGAGTTGAAGAAAAAAAAAGGGCAGGAGTTTCTTTTGGTGTTTTTTTTTTGATAAACCAAGTTGGTTTAAGAGATATTACACACTCTTATCCTTACTTGGGGTTGGAGTCTAGCATTCAAATAAGATATTACACACTCATTTAAATACCTAGAACCTAAAACTCACACTCAAGAGAACCACTCTCAAGATATAGATTTAGGAATTTAAATAGCAAACACAATAAGTGTATTACTAAAGAAAAGGAGAATACATTGAATTCATTTGCAAGGCCCAAGGCCGAAATATAAATACACACACAAGGGAAGCTACCAAGCATCTCCTTCACACAAATCTAAAGGAATAACAACCATTTATTAATGTCCTTTTGGTAGGGAAAAATCAGAGATGGGGATGGGTTTGTGGGGCTGGAGTTTCAGTTTTT